AGATTTTTAATTTTTATTTATTTATTTATTTATTTATTTTAAAAAAATAGACCGGGCCAACATCATGTGAATCCAATTTTAAGGCCACTAACCAAATAAAATCTCTTCAAAAATTTAAACATTTAGATGATACAGGAATATTTGGAAGTACATGTCGGCATGGAATTCCCTTAAAATTTTTAAATTTGCGTAATATGGGTGAAAGGTAATAAATAAATTTGACTATTATAATATTATTATTCATATTAATTTAATAATTATTAAATAATTTAATTAGATATGTTCTAGCAGAATGTTTAATTGATCATTTTCAACAGCAATTTTCAAAATCAAATCAGAAATTTATATTTTTATATGATATTGCTTGTTTTCTTGATGCTCATATTGCCAATCCAAACAATATCCTTTACCCTTATCTTGAAAGATTTACATGGGCAGTTTCTATATTTCATGCATATGCCCATACATCAAAATGCCAACAAAAATACCATCCAAGGGTAATTAAATCAGTAGGTCTTACTGATGGTGAATCACTGGAGAGATTGTGGTCTTACCTTGGTAAATTTGCCAAAACTACTAAATATATGAAATTTGGTCATAGATTGGATATTATAGGAACAGCACTTGAATTTCATTATCAAAAATCTGTAGAAAAATTAGGTTTGAAATGTATATTATCGATTATAATTATTTTCTAAAAGTAAATTACTAATTATTATTTATTTATTATAGCAAATAATCTGTTCAAGAGATACAAAAATGCAAAAAAAGTAGAACATGAATCATTAGAAAAATTAAGTCTTCTAAATCAACAACATAATATAGATTTCAAGTTAATTGAAGAAACAATAGAAAAACAAAAGACTTCTGAATATGGTACAGTATAAATATTATTATTAAAATATGTTAGATTGTATATAACTAATATTTTTTTACCATTAGCATTTAAGCATCATTTAGAAGGAGAACATGCATACTTTGAATTATTAATGGAATTAAGAAGTATTAAGTTAGTGTATTGCATTATATATTGTAATAATTTGCAATTATTAATAGAATACTAAAATTTTATAATTCTACTATTAGCATTGAAACTACAAAGATTAATAATATAAAGAAGAAAGAACTTTTAAGAAAAAAACATGATAATATACTTAAAAAAATTGAAAATTATGAAATATCATTAAGTATACCTAAAACACATCGGTGGGATCCTATGGATTCAAAATATAGTGCATATCTTGAATTTTATTGTATTAATCAACTATCTAAATTTATTGATGGATTGAGAAAAGAAAGAAATGAATATTTATTCAATTCATCTTATTTATATAATGAATTTCACAAAGGTAATAAAATTTTTTTATATGTAATGTATAAATTGTTAATTATATATTAATTATAATATTATTTTTAAAAGGTCAAAAGTTAGCATCAAAAATTAAAAATTTGAATGCTAATGCATTAACCAATATAAATAAGACAATTGAAAATTATAATCAAACAAGAGAATTTTTATCGTCTACACAAAAGAAAAAATATCTAACAGCATCAATCAAGAATGTTTTAGATAATCAATCTAATTTTTGGATATCACTAGATATTATTTTAGATGAAAATTGCAATATACCACGAATTATTATGTACAATGCAATACAAAATTTCAATAACCTTAATAGAAGTAAAGAAGAGCAAGAACTTGTCAAATCTGAAATTACAAGACTTGTTATTTTTTGGTTAGAACAAAAGGAACTCATTGAAAAAGCTATTAAATTTCAGGAAAAAAAGGTAAATAAATTTATATGATTGAATTACTTTATTAATAAATTAATAAATTTTATTATTTTAGGATGGAATATATTGCAATTTAATGAAAGAGTTAGATAAGATATCATTAAATTTAGAAATAGCTAAAAATATGAAAAATAAGATTTTTGGAGACGATGATAATAATCAAAATATTATTTATGATGAGGATTTTAACTTTATTGAGGAAGATGAAGAAGAAAGATATGAAGAAGAGAATGAGGAAGTAGAGGATAAGGAAGAAGAAAATGAAGAAGAGGAGAGTGAAGAAGAGGAGAGTGAAGAAAAAGAAAATAAAGAAGAGGAAAATGAAGATTAAGATAAAATTAAAGAACAGAAAGAAGTAATAATATAATGATTATAAAAATATTGAAAGAGGTGGATACCAGAACTTTTACCTCAGTTGGACATTTTTACTTTTTCATTTTGTGATTTATTTGAATATTTAGCATAGTATACACAACAATAAATTTATACATATTATTGTATTATATATTATAAAAAAAGAAAATTTTGTATGAATTTTTCTTGCATACCAGTTTATACTATTAGAAAAAAAAATTAAAAAAATTTCAATAATGATTATTATTATGTGAACTCATTGTTATTTATTATTATTTGTTAAAAAATACTTAGAAAAAAATTTATTTAATGATATATCTGTATAATTTATTTTTTTAAATGATGGCATTCAAATGCCTTTTTTAATTAATAAAAATAAAAGATCAAGGTTTTAAATTTTAATGGGTACTAGGAATTATAAGAAATTCCTTGATGTGTCAAGAAAATACCATCTGATTGGTCAAGATCAATACTTTTGCATCCAAGCTAAAGCAGCCATATTTTAGATAACAAAAAAAGTAAACTTGCTATAAAACTCAAATTTAGATATATTTAATAAACTTTTATCTATTTATTAAATAATAATTATCAACTGATTAAATTACTAGTAATTATTGTATGAAAAATATGCTTTTAACACACTAAATAATATGCATTTAAATTCCTAATATTCAAATTTAAAATACTAATTTTTTTTCCTTTAATGTTGATTTTTTTATTATGAAGATATTAGTATTTTTAAAATTATTAAACAGTAAATAAATTTAATTAAATAAAATTAAATAAATGGAGTTAAAAAAATAAAATAAAAGTGTCATAAAAATAAAAATAAAAATGCTAAAATAATTTAAAAGAATTATTCAGGTAAATTAACTATAAATTTAAGAAAATAATAAATTACAAATATAATAAAATTAGTAAAATTAAAAAAAATCTGAAACTAAATAATACAAAAAAGGTTATTAATAATTAATTAAAGATAAATTAAAAAATATTATTATGAAATAAAATTAAAAAAAATCTGAAATAGATAATGAAAATAAAATTAAATTACATAACAGATTAACTAAAGATAAAATTAAAAGAATTTAAGCTAAAATAGAATTCTAATAAATAAGCTATATGGACAATAGACAATTTGTCTTTGCTTTTTTTATTGTGGTATATAAAGATATCAATTACAAAATAGATAGCAGAAACCTTTAAAAAGATTAGAAGTATAACAATAATTGCTATAAAAAGCATTTTTTTTACTCATTACAAACTGTTTTTAAATTTGTATCCTTTTTTTGATTTTTTCACATATTAGTAATTTATTTTTTAATATTTATTAAAACAATAATTAAAATTATAAATTTATTCAAATTATAAAATTTATCTTCTGACAAAAGAACTATTAGTAAAACAAATTCCTAAAAAAAATTCCAATGAAATAATTCTTAAAAAAATTCTCTAACAAATTTATTAAACAAAACCATACTACCCTAATACTTATTAAAAAAAATAAAAGCCTGGTTAAAATTTTTTAAAAAGGATTGACTAGAAAACTTATAATCATATGCATTAGTATTAATGTTGTCTATTTTAAGCATAAAGAAAATATGCATTATATAGTGACCAATGTATGATGATGTACAGTAATGTATAATAATATGCAATACATTTTATAAATATACAATTAACAAAAACCTATTTACATTCCTCAAAAAAAGTATTTAGAAATTAGAATTACAAAAAAAAATGCAAAAAAATAAAAAACTGGTGATTAGGGCTTCTTCAAATTTTATAAATTTGTTATTAAATATACAAAGTTACAAACTTTATGTGTATAAAATTTCAACCTTCTATCTTGAAAAAAAATTTGTTAAAAATTTAAGCTATGAAAAATATTAAATTTTTATAAAGCATTCAATTTGCCAGTTTATTAAAAATTGAATAATTAAAATTTTGATTTATACTATCAATTTTATTAAAAAAAGTTTAACACTTTATTATTTGATAGTTATTGAAAATATCATGATGATCAACATTTATATTTAGTTTTAATCAATAATTTTCAAAATAAATAAA